CTGGGGGGGGGCCGGACGCATCCCTTGAGAAAATCGCTGTCCCTGACCCAAAAGCACAAATGGCTGCAGAGGATTGATTGTGGGAGCCACAGTCGGCGCGCAAGTCGCGGCTCTTTTGACTTTCGAGTACCGCACTCTTACGGTGGCGAAGTTGGCCAGCGGCGTGATGCAAAAGGCGTCTGTAGCATTCACTTGATAAGCGAAAGCGTCCACCACTAACGTCTCAGGGGCACACTCGTCCGCCTTTACCTTGACGCGAAAGCGGCGCTTCCCCCCCTTGCTTTTGGTGAAATCGATACCAAGCCAGTAAATGACAGTCGCTCCATCCGTATTCTCAAGCACTTGCGCTGGCGCATAGAGCTTTGAGAACGCATGCTTCGCTATTTTCTCTACTGATAAGCCATTTGGCAGCTTCAACTGGAACTCCAGATTGTCGATGGGACCTTCACTACTCAGCGTGACGGTGATTTTGGCAAGGCCCTTCCCAGCAAGGATCCCACGATTAGCACTAGGCCTTGCTTTGGCCTTGAGAGAAAGCCGCGGACATTCTTGAGAGACAGTGATGAGCATGCTTGCCAAGCCCAGGAGGGCGACAAGGAGGATACTCGAGGAAAATCTCATACTGAAATGCGCTGAATCTGTGCTTGAATGATAGCCTGTAGTGGGTTTGGGAGAGAAAGCGGAAACAAAGATCTTGGGCTTTGAAGCAGTGTACGGTGTCAGTCAAGAAGCACACGACCATCGAAACTCATGGCCCTGTTTTTACTTCTTCGTTTTTCAGAGCTGCGGAGTGCTGTGTCAAGCACAATCAAGGAGCAAAGCAAAACTCGAGACTTGTCAGACAGAAGCATAAGGGAGCCTGAAGCGCAGCCCAAATCGCGAGAGATTCTCTGTGAAGAGGATGAAAAACAACACATACAAGCAATCTCTTTACATAGCTCGCCTTCAAGCTTTCGTATAGAAATGTCCAAAAGACTTCCAAAGTGTCTCGAAATTATAAAGTGTTCGGTGTTGAAAGCAGGCGATAATAACCCCTTCAGCCGGACTACAACCATGTATTCATAGCAGAAAAACTAAACGGATATGTACGAGAAAACAAAGATATGACTTTAAAAAGAACATGTTTTTGAAAAACAAAGATATGTTTTTTGAAAACAACGATATGCCTTTGGCGATTCATGTCCTGTTATGTGAAACCGTTCTTGATCGGCTTATCGCATTTCCATCCACAAGCGCACGTTTCGGCCAATCCGCTCTCAAACACACGTCGTAAGAGATCTGAGTGCTTAGCAGGGCGAAAAAACATTGTGGTGATCTGCGTATCGATGCGAAGTGCGCACGAAGGAGGCAAAGAAATGCTGTGAGGGGATGGAAGAGGCATGAGGTCTGGCGGATATTTTGGAAGTCCAGTCGAGATGACCGTTGAATGGTGAAAAGTAAAATTATAAACGCCCCAGTTGACAGGAAGGGGAAAACGTGGTGGTGGGAAAGAGGGCACAGGGTGAAAGAGGAAAACGTGCGCGTGCCAAGGACGACGCACTGCTCCGCATGGTGGATGCCATGGAGCGACAAATGATATAAGTCATCAAGAGGGAGGGGGAAAGGACTAAGGGGGTAAGCGAGGGCCCCTTTCATGTTCAGGCTGACAGGGGTAAGGGAGAAGGAGATTCCTTTCGACGGAGCGGGGGACCATGTCAGTATCGAAGAAGAAGGAAGACTCCAGGTTTATGACCACGGCATTGGGTTCTATTCGGACTCGTTCACCATTCCTTTTCGCTGGCCGGCGCTAGATGAACATGCACGTTGAAGACGCCACAGCGTCCTATTCGATCCTCGGTGCTCTTTGACTTGTTCATGTATCGATTGTCTGTCCTAGTTGAACGTTTTTATTCCTCGATACTCTATCCTCTGGGCACCTTCTCACATCCAATCGCAATAACCTTGGTATTACTTCATGCGCGTAGGATTGAGACAAGGAAACGAGAAGCACTTTCAACGAATTCATCACATCTGATGCATGAAGTACATCGGACCTTTCTCTTACTTTGTTTTAAAGTTCTCTGGTCAAAAAATAATTTTTAAAAACGATACATATAGATAAGGACCCCGGCTCCTACGAGATGCATGTGTTTTACAAATTGAGAGCACTATGGGTGCTCGCTCTTTCCAAGACAGATGCCCTTGCTGCCTCCACTGCCACGATAGAGGCACGGCGACGCGCCACACACATGATTCTCTTTGATTAGCGATACACTAAAGTCCTGCGAAAAGTGCGCCCTGCAAAAAGTGCCCTTTTCCACACAACACGAGCCACGAGCTCTACGCATTCACACGTCCTGATAATACCCCCTCATACGCCACCTGGACTACCCTTACTTTCTCAGTGCACAAGATGTGGTCGGGCCCTGATATCTTATCTGGTGCTGCGTGGTACGTGCTTGCTTTCTCCCTGTCTTCGCGAGGGATGGGATGGACGGCAGCAACACCATCCTGGAGCACACCGTTGTCCGACCCCTCTCAGCACCGCAACGCTTGTCCTTGACACCTGCTTTTGGCGTCTCGAAGGCCACGAAATTTCCGCCACGCTCCTCGTTCCTCCTTCTTCCTTTATTTCCCCTCGAATGACGTTCTCTCCTTCCCGGACGTTGCCCTGTTGCGGAAGGTCCCGAGGCTCCGCCGTTCCTCCTTACGCTTCCTGGCCTTGGTGCCTGTGTGCCACATCCACCGACCGGCAGAATCTATTTTTTCCGACCTTGGCTTCGAAGCCATCTGATATAGCCGTAACTTTGCTCCGTCTCCCCCCCCTGCAGCCTCGCTGCTCGCCATCTCCTTCCCTCTCGCCTCACATCCCCTCTCTGTCCTGTGTTCCTCCCCTACGGCCCTCTCCCTTTCTTTGCACGACACTATGGATGCTTTTATGTTGCGCCTACACTGCAATGATTTGGGAAGCCAGTTGTCCCTCTCGGCTTATTAGAGATCCTCGCTACGACAGACCTCCCTCCCTCCCTCCCTCCTTCCCTGGCTGTCTGCCTCAACTCAGCTCTTCAATCGACATGCTGGACGGAATCATCCCTTTCGTTTCGCTGTAGATCACTCCTTCCTTCCCACCACCCTCACTCCCTCCCTCCTTTCCGCTTGCAGTCACCTGTGACAGGATCAAACGCCGGACAAAGGGTGGGAAATGCGGCCAGTACCTACAGGAAGAGAAGGGGAAGGACGGAGGGTATATTGATAAGGCCAGTATATATATAGATATATTCCACGCACAAATCATTTCCGAAACGACGTGCTCCTCTCTCACTGCCGCCACGGCCCTCCACATTTCACGGATTCCACCCCCCCCTCCCTTGCTGATGTCTCCCCTTTTTCCTCCCACTCCATTCCCTCCCTCTCTCCCGCTGCATTCCTCACTTTTCTTGCACTTTCGGGAGCATCCAATCTCGACTGGTCACTAATCCCCGACAATCACGCGCCTGACAGCTGCGGAGGGCGGGGGAGAGGGAGGGAAGGAGGCAGGGAGAGCGGGAAAGAAGAGGCTGAGGAACGCAGCACGGCGTATGCGGTGCCGCGGTCCTCTCGGGACACGCGAAAAGGTCATAAAAACTTCCGAAGAGGAGGACGGGGGTAGGCATGGAGAGAGGGAGGGAGGCAGGGCAGGATGAGAAAAGCGGACGCACCGGCAGGTAAAATTGTCACCCTCGGAGGTATTTAAGCCGCTGTTGACCGTCGCGTAGTCGATGGTGATCTCCTCCCCCGCGGCGATGTTCCGGATGGCAATGACGCTCGTCGAGTCGGCCATGCCTGCCAACAGCAGGGAGGGAGGGAGGGAAGCACACAGGGCTGCCGCTGGAGTCCAGCTTGATCATGAAGACGTCATCGTT